AGTATTTAAGAATTTAGATATGATTGTGATGATTTTTTTCCAATCACTTTCTTTTATAGAAATGCAGTGTTATACTACGCGTAGTATGCTTCAAGTTTTACCATACATACGAAATTACTAAATATTGAAAATGTAATTATTGATAAACTAGTATGAGTTTTTATCTGGATAAAACTATCGTCTTATAGATAGTAATAATAAATTATTTAGACTATACCAGTAGATTTATTATATAAATAACTGCACTAAAACTTTCTTACCAAGATTATGTGTGTAACGGATGTCACGCAAATGGAAAAAATGAGTATATTTTAAATAATTTCAAATCCCTGAAAAAAAAATCAAATTTCACAAAATAATTTCTGCTAAACGATTCAGGGTTTTATAAGTAATAAAATAAAAGAGAAAAAATTAATGATTTTTAAAGAACTTTAAAAAAATATGCGACGTTTGAATATGTTAACTGAACGCTTACATTTGATTTAAACGTATAAATACTTATTTAAGCATCGAGGTGTGTTTTCAGTCATACAAAGAAACATATAAAATATCAAGTCGTTATTTCTGCAGGGTGAGGCATTAATATTAGTCTGTTTTCAAAATTAGATAGCACATTCATTGTACGCAACAATAAATACTACTTTATATTGTTAGGTAAGTTGTCAGTATATTTTATCTACAAAGCAGGCCTCTCTCTGCAGTAAAACGTCTTGAAGAAGCTGTCTAGGACAATTATGCATGTAACTGCCATTTCCCAGGTACATTTGTTATGATCCGATATGGCTTGTCTTCCGAAATATTCCCAGTTTCCTGAAAAATTAAATTTTTAAAGTTGTTAATGTTAAAAAAAATTCTGCTACAACAAACTCCGAAAAACTGAATGAGAGTCGCTAATCATCATGAAGTCGAGATGGATGTCTCCATCTCAATTAAGGAAACTTTCCTTACAGGGCCATTTGAAAGTCCAGGTTTCACGCACATCCTACTGATATTAAAATTCTATGTATTATCATCAAGGATCAAATTACTGTATCTTATATGAGCTGAGCTGGCTTGAGCTGCTGTATGCTCAAATCTTAGAGCAGAAAATATAGCATAACAATAATATTTTTCATATCTTATTGTTGGTTTTCATATCTTTTTGAAGATTCTTGAATATTTTACAAATAATGTAACTAAATAATTAGCTCTAATATCAAAAAAGTATTTGCTTATTACACATCATTTCTATCTTCTATTGATGAACAGTATTTTTCTTCTGTTTTATGCACACGCTATAAAAAATAGGAAAAGTTACTCGAGAAAAATAATTATTTACATTTGTAAGTAAACAAATGAAGCTCATTGTGCAGTGATATAGCATAAAGTTTCTCAGTCTGTGACCCGCGGACCGCAAGTGTTCCTCGAACCCTGTATTTGCGGGTTTATTTTATTTATTTATTTATTTATTGTGTTTAAAAAAATTCGAATTAACTACCCATGTCCAAGTATAGTTGCAGATTTGACAATTTAGACACATGGCAATCGTCTATTACTTTTTCTTCCAAGATTTATTTTTTATTACAGGTTAGTCTGTCTACAGACTTCCCCCTCTAGTCTTAGCATCAAAATAGGGATTTAATGCACTGTGATTGTGGTACTTCTTACCAGCATACATCCAAACATAAGTCAGCTGTACAAGCTCATGCATTTCATTAATTTCAGTACCAACATTCATTTAATTTTCAGTTAATAAGATTACCCAAACACTAACAGCCTTGAATTATTAAAAACAAATGAAATTTTCTTCTATTAATTTAATTACTTAATTAAGTAAAATTTTAAATAATTGTATTTTAGAAATTATTGTATTTCGAAAGGGGCAAGAATAAAGTGGTTAGCAGAAGATTTTAATTCATAAAAGTGGTCCCCACTTGAAAAACGCCGGTTTAGCACAAAGTAAAGCAAATTACTACGTCTTTTAACACAAATAGACATAACATTTTCCCTGATTGCACTCTCATTGGAACATAATCATACTTTATTAAAATGTGTTGCTATGTTTAATACAGAACACTGTACCTTTTACTGCGTACTGTTAACGTACATAAAACTGAAAAAAAAATTTAATAAAGCCTGACATTGTTTGAGGAGAAAATACATCATCTCATATCCGACCTAAAATAAACTTAAGTTTCGTGATGCTTAATGCACTCGTGCTAATTAAGAAAGTGAGCAACAAACGCTAAAAGAAAAGATACGAATGGGTAAAAAGGAGAATTAAAACATACAATTTCCATATGAGGCAGAAATTGCATCGCCGAATGCAAATAGGCAACCAAAATTAGCACAAAATGCATTCAGGCAGTCACACCAGAATGTCTTAAAAAAGGGCATGTGCCGGATCGGAATGTTGCAAGCTGGTGCAGGACTATGTGCTGTTGCGAAAGAGCTGAATATGCATCGGAGTGTCATCTATAGGTTGTGGAATCATTACCAAAAGAATCAAAATCCTGTAGAAGACCTAACACCCTCCACCCTAGATATCTTTCATGAGCTCTGACATGCATTACTACAGGATGCATGTCATTATGCATGACCGCTATATGGCACAAGAAGCAGTCATGGTCAACAACAAGCATATTGCACAACAAGATGGTTTTTGTATGTCTCTGTTTTATTGCTTACTATGTGGTTTACTAATGATCACACGAACCTCTTGGATCAATTTCACGCTTATCCATTAAATAACTTTTGTTTCATTCCGTGCAAACTATGTCACAAACAGGCAATCAATAACAGCTAACCTACCCGAATGCGCAAACGTTTAGGATATATTAGAAACCTTGGCAGTCCAGTATGCAAACACTGTTGCCGAAACCATATTTCTAAAAGAATGAAACTATTCAAAATGATGCGATAAAATCGAAAAGATAAAATTAAAAAAAAACTTATTCGAATTTTGAAAAAGTCGCTTCGAGATGCACTGGCTCTTGTCTATATGCACCTATATACCAAATTTCGTAGCCCTGGGTCTATTAGCTTACGCGCAGCACGAACGAAAGACACACAGATTCTTTCTTTGATTATACGTAGTGTAAGAATTATGTTAATTTTATTAACAGTTAAATTTTAAGTTAAAGTTCCTTTCCTGTCAAATTCTTAACTTCAACTTAATACTTCCGGCCAGAACGTAGTTTTGGAATTTGCTGAGTATTAAATGAGAAGGAGCAGTATTTAAACCACGAAGTTATTTACTGAGACAGAGAGAGAGTCAGAGTTTCTGAACTACGCGCGTCTGCCTTTTTGGCCGCTGTCTCTCTCAAAGCTGTTTTTACGCTCGGCCGTACTCAGACCCTTGCTAAGCTTCGTAGTAAAATAAGTTAAGGGGCCAACTCTCATTGAACCTTGATAGCTTTGGCTATACTTATTTAGTTAATCTTAGTTTTAGTTTTAATTCTTAGTCTTTTAAGTTCAAGTCCAAAGTGCAGGCTTTACTTGTACACTCCCAGGCGGAGTTTTGTTAAATCTTATCGAAATAATAAAGGGTTAGTTTCCCTTCTCTCTTGTTGTTTCTTGTCATCGAACTCTAGCGATTATTCGCTTATCAGTTCTTAGGTTCCTCACTTCCAACATTAACTTAGAATTCCCAAGTGAGGTACCTTACAGTAGAGATTGTGTTTTTGTTGCTTATTTCTTGAGCACGAGTGTATTTATAATAACTGAAGAAGCCTCTCTGAAAGAATTTGTACATAAACACATCTTTAGAAATAAATATTTTATTATTACTAACTGCGAATTTCCTTAATTTCCTTTAATTTCTCACACGAGTGTATATAGTAAACAACTTCTGGAATTGAGCTTTTTCGGATACTTTCCCGTTTTTGGCCGCATTGTCCCATTAGGTTTAAGCCTACTGGAGATTTCAAGAATTCTATATTGGATTTATGCTCAGCGTTGTGCGTTGACGTTGTGTACAAACTGCTCAAAGTTCGATAGCGATTGAGCGGTATTTGTTTTCATTATAACTAAAATATTTTAAAATAATCATAGAAATACATACATTTATTAACATCAATAAAACCTTAATTTTTAAATTAATATATTCATAAAAATCCAACTATAATTCGTCACTAAGTATTTAATAGTATAGTATTAAATACTAAGTAATATATATTTATACTTAGTAAATACTTAATTAGTATTCTGCTACAAATGCGAAGTACTCAGCATTATCAGTCGGATACAGTTAACAAACATGTAACACTGCCTGAAACAAATTCTGGCTGTCTCGAGAGTTAAAAATTATGCAGCTAACTTAAATAATTTAATATTTCTGTTTTAAAAACATATGAGTCTAATATTTTAGCATAAATTCAATTACTATGCTTTTATAAAATGAAAATTTCATTTTTCCACGAAACTTTACCGTTTACACATTCCAATGTGTTTCGTTACAAGCATTTAAAATTCGGGTTTATGTTCGTTACAAAGATAGTCTGACATAATCTATGAAAGGAAGTAGTTACGAAGATAGTCTGACATAATCTATGAAAGGAGGTTATTATTAAGTAAATTGATTTCATTTTTAATCACATGCATTACACTGCAATGATATAAGATCGTGGCAACTTATCATTTATTATCATTTATCATCATCAGGAATTTATCATTTGGAAAATCAGACAATATTCTTTTTTTTTTTTTTTTTACACATTTCTTAAAAATACCAATTTTGTTATAACTTTTCTAAAAATCTAGAATAAGATTTTCAGGATTTCTTTTGATGTACAAATTTTCAGGTAAATTACAATGAAGTATTTAACATATTATTTTAAAATGAGAATTTCATTATAAAGATGCAAAATTTGCAAAGAAATATTTTATTTTTGAATTTTACTAAAAGCTATCCGATTGTTTATTTAAGTTAGGATTTTTTCTGCCAATTTCTGAAACATACTCCTTCACAACTCCACTCCACATATAATGCAAATCTCGTTCTTGCATTAAAAAGTGTAATACGTCTCGCTTTATTTTGTAAATATATGAAACATGAATTTGTCAGAAAGAATGTATATCTTAAAGAATGTATACTACTATGAAGAAGTAAAGTTAAGTGCTAAGGATTGTGTTATCGTAAGCATTATTTAGTGTTTTCGTCATGTTTTACCTACGAAAAAAATTTATGTTTCGTTATTAAGGAGTAACAATTGTATTAGCTCTTATTTAAGATACTATATTACTTAATCTCAAAGAAACAATCATAAGGTGAATTCAATGGTGTTATTTCTCGAATTATGAAGACAATTTTTAAGGGCTCTGGAGTTAAAATTAAATTTTGTGCACTTTTAATATCCTATCACTAAAAATCATCATGTAGGTAAATATGAACAATTTCAGAATATTTTCAATTAATTGCTTCATTTGATTTTAATAAAGCGTTTCCACTTTTATTGCCCAATTAATTAAAATTAACAGCGATAATAGTTAAGAGCTACTAATATATTTCATTGCTCTTTACGATTTTTGAGTTTGCTTTTGTTTTTGGAATTATAGTGTAAAATTATAAAAAGTATTTTTTATAATTCTTTGGTAAAGTGATACTTTAGTATGTCGCCAAAAGTGACAGCCCAGTTTTTAATTTTGTAATTTTCAACTTATTAATTTAAATCAGCCAAAACGGTTAGTTTCAGAATCTGGCATGTTGTAGCCGCTTTAGCAAGGAAGTATCTTCGTTTCTTTAGCTTTACGGTAGTGTTCTAATTATTTTATTAAACAAATGTATGGTTAAATTATTATAATTTTAATTATTTCAAAACTTTTTAAGATTAAGAACGTATAGGGTGATCATAAAAAACTTAAGTCATAAAAAAGTAAAAAATTATAAAAATGCTTTCCCGATGTATAAATTCCCAGTGGCCTCTCCGCTCAACTTATCGAAATGAAATTTCAGATATTGTTATTTGGGAGCATGGGCTTGAGAGTGCGGTGATTTAAAACAATACAGCTCTCACAGTTACAGTTACAGTGAAAAATTTTCGAAATTTGCCTGTGTAATTAGCTTCTAAAGAAGAAATATATTTGGATAAAACAACTGTCTTTCTATCTCCTTTTCCAAAAAAACATTAGGTAACTGTCTGGAGAATCTTTTACATTTTATTTTTCTCTTAACACACTCCACTCTGCTTGAAATTTACCTGGACCCCGTTTCACTCAAAATTTTCCAATATTATTTGTTGCTAAGTTTTAAAACGTTTTAAAACTTAGCATGATAAACGTGCTATGATAAAAAATTTTTATGCTGTAGATTGCTACTACTTTAATAGGGTGATATCATTACATGATACTTTGCACTTTACTCCATTTTGCACAAATTTCGTGTGTTGTTTCGGTTACCTCAAAAATGAATTGTTTTTATCTTTTCTTATTCCTTCTTCTGAAATAACTTCCACAATCATCTTATCTTGCTATTTCTTGAAGTATTTCTATTTCTTTTTCTGTTTAGCTCATTTTTGTGGTTTTCTAGTGCTTCTGCCTGTTTCCATTGTTAAATTTCAGATATTGCCCATAGGTTTGCTTAAAGACACATAGGTAACAAAAGACATAAAGATAACAAAAGTTCTTAAAAGCCGTTTAGAGTCTGCCTGCAATAAATCCATCTTCAATGATCTCGAACCAAATTCACGTTCCTATTAATCACTTGCTGTCAAATTTTGCTGATAAAAGCTAAGCAACAGGAAATATTAGGTTGTCTAAAACGTTCTGAGCATTTGAAGGCCAAACTTGACAATACATTTATTTTTATCGAAAGTTAACATTATGAAACCACTTATGTACCATCTTGTTCAATGGTCTTATGCCATTTTTCCATCAGTATCTTAATCTTATCGCTATAAAACTTCTGTGGTTTCTTGAATAAAAAAAACTTACACATGGTTTTTACAGGCCTCTTTTGAAGCTAGCATAACACCCTTCAGGGAATTCTGTAGAGACCGAAACAGATGATAGTTGGACAGTGCTAGACTGAATCATAAGGTGGTGGCATTGAAACCACTCCAAGGAAATCCGATTTCCTAAATTGAAATTTTTATTGCCTAACAGTTTAAATTAAATCTCTATTGTCTAAATTAACTTACTTTTATCCTAAGTACTATTAAGTGGTCTAATAAGTACACTAAATGGACTATACAATCTAGATCAGCTGAGTGAAATTAATTACAAGTTTCCTCATTGAATTACAGATCATTTAAAACCCAATGCTCCAAATCATATAAATTAATGTTTTTAAGTATTAAAATTAAAAACAGTAGTAGAATACGCCTTGATTAGTTTTTATACTGAATGATTTTTGTTACATTTTTGCGTTTGGTTTCATTTCAGGTTTAGTATATATCACGAATCGAGTGTAAGAACACACTCTTTTTCATCTTTGCGAGAGGTACAAGACCTACCTTCGCTACTACCTAAAATAACAGCATCGGATCGTCGAAGACAACGATATGGCCGAATTCGAATGCGATAGTTCCCACCTGGTGACAAAGAAAAAGAAAAAGCTTGGTATGAAATTCTTTTATTCTGTAAAATCTCCTAAAAGAAAGAAAAGAATGCAGAAACCTCGACTTTCGCCATGTAAAGCTTCAAAACATTTTAATGTGAAAAACAATAAACGATATGCAATTGAAGAATCATGTGTATCAAAATGCTGTGAACCGCCATTGACTGGAACCCCAAAAAATGCCAAAATAATAGACTTACGCAAGAATATTTATGATCTTTTCGATCCTACAGCTCAAAACCACCCTCATACAGAGGATATTTTGCCTCCTGATTATCTCGAACGAAATCAGGAAGACATTTCATTACCCTTCCTTAAGGAAAATGGACACTTTTCTCCCGTATCTTATGGTTTAAATTACGTACTTAAAATTAATTCAGTAGAAAATTTACAAGATTCTAAATTACGTAGGTCAACGAAGGCTTGCGTGTCAGCTCCAGTGTCACCTACTCAAGAACCAAAAATGAAAGCAGCTTCTAGTCTCTGCTGTAGCAGTTTTACATCTCAGAATACTACAGGAAAAGCTGTCTCCTTACCTAAGACTAAAAACTCAAGGCGCAGTAAAGAAGATCTCACTTTATTACCCTCATCCATTATGTCCAGGCTGATTCAAAATTGTGCAGACGTAAAGCCTGAAATTCTAGAGTTAAAGAACATAAAGAACAAGAAATTTCCGTATAAACCTGATTTGTTAAAGCTTAATTTACCTGATTTGCAGGAAAAGAGCCGAGAATTATCATGTAATGATGTATTATTTCGAGAAACATTCTCTCCCCATCGAAGAAATTCCCTGGGAGATGAGATTTTAAGCCCAAGTAGTGGCTATAGCTCTCTCAGTGACCTTGCTACACATTCAAGAACCCAGTCTTCGCAATTAATTGGTATTTCTAGTAAAAACATTGCAGAGAATTCTTCAACAAACCCTATAAAGATGTCTAGCTCTATAAAATCATTTTGGAAATCAGATGTTCTAAGAGACTTCGGAAAACTTAAAGTTGATTGTAATATATCAGTTGTAGGTAATAAACACTCAGATTTTAGAATGTTTCAGACTTTAGACCAAAAAACTCAATTCAGAAATACCACTAAAATTAAAACCAATGATTTTTGCAGACTTGCAAATAGCCCTTCTCACAGAATAGCAACAACACAAACAAGTGAAGAAAGAAGTGACTCTTTATTTCATACAAAAGAGGAAAGTAGAAATATCTCTGAAGATTCGTCAAAAGGAATTAGTACAGATAAATCAGAAGAGTATCCGGCAAATAAAGAGTTAGATATAGAGTTTGAAACGGAGGATTTTCTTTTCGAATTAGAAAATACAGATTTAATTAACGTAAGTGACAATGATTCAGCATCAGACTGCAGTGAATGCTTTTGCCAATGTGACTGTTGTCAGGAGTCTAATATTTCAGAAAATAACTGCAATGACGTCAGTACAAAATCTTTACATGCATCAGATGACAAACAGGAAACAAAATCGTTTACTTTCCTTGTACATGAACCAATAATTATAAAATACGTGGACGAAGAAGAGAAAGCCGTGAAGGAGTTGTTAATGTATTCCAGCGAGTGCTTGGAAGATATTTCGAAGTTATATAACAAGGCGATGTCTCAAAAGGAAGTACTGGAATGTTTGCGTAGAAGAAGCAAGATCTATGAAGGAAAACCGTTGCGAATCGTCTTGAACCTTAAAGAAACTCTTAAAACACTGAAAGATGAAACACCATATCCACCCAAATCCGTTTCTCGTATTTCTTCATACAAAACCAAAAGCAATAATCAATCTAAATTTTCCGTATGCAAAGTCAATACATTACCACAGAGTCATTCTGCTATTTTAGATCATCGTGATGATGTGCAACGTTCTAAAACCAGGGAACTTAAAAAGTTCAAGGTTTTCACTAAGCTGCAAAGTTGTATTTCAAACATTAATAAAAGTCAAAAGATAACAAACGAAAAAAAAGCTCACTCATATTTTGTACGAAATGAAACTAGTTTGCTGATTGCTCAGAAAACCGTATCCCAAGAAAATAGCCTCGAAACCAAGACACACAGGGCTGATAGAAGATGGTCGACTGTGACAAGAAAAAATATAGACGAGATAATCTCACATGGTTTCAAGGATCGTTTCCACTTCTATGCAAAACTGGGTGGTCGTTTGAAATCGGGAGTTGTGATATCGAAAAGTAATAGTAATTATTGGTTGAGGAAATGTGGAATCATTTATGATCAGGAAAGTCTGAAAGCAGCAGACGAATGCTTTGCAGAATTTGCCAGGTAAGTCAATGCATTTCATCAGGCGATGATATTTAACTGTCTATAATTTATACGTTTGCAATGAAAAACAAAATCTTCTAATTGACATGCTGTAGCTTATTCTGTCATTTATGGTACACATGTTATTTACTAAATATGGTATTTGAAATAGTTACCGGGTTTTATACTTAACTATAATGCATGTACTATTCTTTCTAGTTGTCCCAAGCAGCAGAAATAAACAATAATAGCTCGTAGCTCCCTCTCGTGAGATTATATATATTTTAAAACCTACGAGGGCATTCCGTTTGCCGCTGTTACCTGTTACTCAAAAACCTGTTTCTAGCAATTTCAACAAAGACCAGATTCACATTTTCAGAATACAATACGAAATAGTTAAATTTGACTAGACAAATTACATTCTAATTTATTTGTTTAATATGTGACTGCCAATTTTTTAGAATTTTTAGAGCTCAATCGTCTATGGTATGCCTTCGTGGTGTAACGGTAAGCACACTCGGCGCGTATTCGAGAGGTCCAGGTTCGAGTCCAGGCGACGGCCTTGCTCTTTTTTCATGTCTCCTGCTCTCAAATATCCTAATGTCTCTACAGTGTGGCACCCGAACTAAAAGACGGTGATGATGATTCTTCACCACCAAGATTTGGCGACTAGGGTACCCTAATTCCAAGTCGCCCTTCAGAAGGGGGAGTATATAAGGTATTTTCCCCTCCTTTCAACATGCCTTCGTATCACCTCGGCACGTATTCGAGAGGTCCAGGTTGGAGTCTCGGTAAGGGAATTGCTCATATTTCACATCTTCTGCTTCAAAAATAACCTAATGACTGTAGAGTGTATAAACGCTCGAGTAACAACCATAGTAAAATACTTCTGACATAGTAATGTTTGCATATTCATACTCTCTGGTTGTTAATGAATCTAAGTTATTTTAATAAATAGATAGGAATTTGCAACGGAATTTATTTTTTGAAAACATTTAGTTTCAGCCTTAGTAACTAGTAACCTTAACTAGTAACTTCCAATTTTCTAACGAAGGGTATACGCGAACGCATGAAACTTGTTACCTTATGAATAGCATGAGAATAAGAATGGGAGGATTCAAAAGTAGAGAATAATCCAAGTTTGAAGTTGTATATATATTTTGAGATTTATATAGTATTTTGCCTCAAAACAGTTTACCGACTCTAGTTACTAACCTTTGAGATAAGTAAAATCAAGAAATGTAAGCTTTTTGTCTCAATTTAAATCCCATACCCTAGAACTATATCTTTGAGATGTGTGAAAGCAGAGTGCGGCCTAAGCTTATTTATATATGAATTAAATTAAAATGACCAACCAACGTAACTGTGTGCCGTCCAACTTTCAGCCTTTGTTACCATTATCTAGTGGGCTGTCTCGAACAATTTTTTGATTGCTCAATGTCGATGCTAACTTGTCGAGCGCACAGAGAGAACTAAAAGTTTTTAGCTGCTCAATGATCCCACCCAGACTGTTTTTGATTATTCTAATTTTCGAAAACATTATTTGTAAACGTAAACATTGATCAGCTGAATGCGTCCACATCACAATCATTTTCGCTCTTCACCCTTCTTTTTAATTCGACAGTTTTTCTCTTCGCCTTTCTGAATCATATTAACCAAGATGCTGATGTCACTGCTAAATGTGGAAATCTTAACTAAAATAACAAAAAATGGTAAGTTTCATTTTTCCGCCATCGGCAGAATAGCTGGAACACTGTGTTAGGCGCTCATCAGCCTTTTAGATCCCGTCAATGGAGTAAGAAGGAGAGAAACTTCCGGAGCTTAGTGCAGTGTCCTCTAAGAATTGACTATACAAAGTGAGGAATATTAGAAGACAGGAGAAAGGAGGGAAAGCACATAATAGGGATACTTCTATAACTAAAGCAAATAATAACTTATCAAGGTCCAAGTTCGAATCCCGATAAGGGCATTGATCATTTTCTCGTTTCATGCTTCAAAATTCCTAATAACTTTACAATGGCGCTCAAACTAAAAAACGGTGGTGGATGATGATTCTTCATCACCAGGATTCGGCGACTGGGTCCCCTAATACCCAGTTGCCCTTTAAAATGGGGTATATTAAGATATTTGCGTGGGCGTTTGGCTTACTGTGGCAGCAGATATGAGTAATTGACTTAACGTGTATGCAATAGGTATGAGCACTTGGCTTCCTGATTGTTCCTGATTGACGAAATCTGACTGGATCTCTGCATTTAACAACTCTGTAATTTAATCATGATTAGCAGATTTCATTTTAGTTAGAACATGAGTGCGAATGGGGTTGTATTGATACTCCGTTGGTATGTTGAATTGATCACTTGTTGAACTTCACCGACGTGTGTATACCATTTTGACGGATTTTGAATCGATAATTTGAAAAGATCAGAAATTATGACAGAATTCAATCTTTCAATTTGTCCATTGGCACGAGGAAGTCCTGTAGTAATTAGAATGTGCTGTATATTGTTGGTTGAACAATAATCTTGAAACTCTTTTGAAGTAAATGCTGATCCTTTATCTGAAATTATACGCGAAGGATTTCCAAAGACAAATTTTTGATTTTCCAATTTAGATATTACTTCGGCGGTATCAGTAGATTTTGTCGGGTAAAGCCCTACAAACTTTTTGAAAGAGTCAATAACAGCAAATACATACTTGTAATTTTTATGGGTACTCTGGAGTGGTCCTAAATGATCGATGTGTGAAGTGGTACATCTTGTTTGGGTACAGAATGCAACATATCTTCTTGTTTACCACATTTATGATTAATTAGTATGCAAGGAACACAATTAGCAATATAGTTGTCAATTTTATCTTTAAGTTTAGGAATATAAAATTCTTGTTTGATGAGTTCTTCTGTTCGTTTAGAAGCGAAATGTCCACGAAGATGTGCGTTCTTAATTATGTCCCTCTGCATTGATTCTGGAATAACAAGTAATTCCGTACCGTCTACAAATTTATAAAGTATATCAGCTTTAACACAATAGTCATCATAAGGTTTAACTTTTAAGACTTCTTTGATAGCTCGGATGTGATCATCTTGCTCTTGAGCGTTTCGTATTTTCAAAATGAGGCTATCCTGAGTGATGACCATAACAGAGGATCTGCTTAATGCATCAACATGTGTCATTCGTGTTCCAGTTCTGTGTTCTATTTCGTAGTCGAAATCTTCTAACATCAATGCCCAACTCTTTCTTGTTCATCGTCATTTTGAAAGCATTACAGTCAGAAATAATTTTGAAGTGTTTTCCTAAAAGATAAACTCTAAATTTTTTCAAAGCTTGAATTACAGCTAATACTTCAAGTTCGTAACTGGTGAATTTCTTTTCTGCGTCAGATGTCTTTTTACTCATGTAATAAACGGGATGTAGGCAATTATCAATCACACACCTTTGCATGAGTATACAACCATAACCATGGATACTGACATCAGTGTGTATTTCGGTATCGCTGTGCTGATTATAGATGTTGAGTACGGGTTTTTCACATAAACGTTGTTTCAAAAGATTGAAAGCTTTTCTTTCGTTGTCACCAAAGTGGAAGTCGTTACCTTTTTTAAGGAGATCAGTTAATGGTTGAGCAATTATGGAAAAATTGAGAATAAATTTACGAAAATATCCGGCAAGACCAAGGAAACTTTGCAAGTCTTTGTGACTTTTAGGTTCAGGATAATTAATAACAGCGGCTGTTTTAAGAGGAGATGGGAACAGTTGACCATTTTCGATGACATGACCAAGGAATTCAATTCTACGACTTAAAAATTTAGATTTGTTAAAATTAATTTCGAGTCCATAAGCAGATGCAACCGAGAAAACGGATTTCAAACGCTGAATCCCTTCATCTTTAGCAGGAATTATGATATCATCAAGATACAGTAAAACATGACCTTGCAAGATTAGATCCTTGAAAACAGAATTTACAAATCTTTGAAATACAGAAGGAGAAGTACAGAGACCGAAAGGTACACGTAGAAACTGATATTGTCCATTATGTGTGACAAATGAAGTGTAATGTCGGCTGCTTTTGGCGACACTAACATGGAATAAAGCATTTTTTAAATCGATTGTAGTGAATGTACGAGCATCTTGTAGTTTATCCAATAAGTCTTCTATTAAGGGTAAGGGTTACCGATCTTTAACTATTTTCTTGTTTAATTTTCGATAGTCAATACAAATTATAGGGTTGCCGTTTTTTTTTTTTTTTTTTTTTTTTTTTTTTTTTTTTTTTTTTTGCGTACTACTACAACTTGACTAGAATATTCGGAAGAACAAGGCTCAATTATGCCGTCGGCTAACCAAGTTTGAATTTGCTTGTCTACAATGTCTCTTTCGACAAAAGGTAATCGTTGAGGTCTGTGAAAAATAGGTGTTTTATCTTTTACTTGGATAATCATCTCAATGTTCGTAGTTTTGGTTTTAAGAGGTCTGTAATCGGAAAAAAGATTTTCAACAACTTTAACTTGTTCTTTTGTAGCAGTAGGACCTATTTCTAGTTCAAATGTTTGATTAAGGGAAATATTATTGATGTACACATCTTCCGGGTCATTTTCTTTAATAACATGTTTAGAAATATGAACACCATCTTTGTTTATGTTAACTTCCCCCTGTTTAAGAATGTCCATGCCAATTATAGCGTCAAATGGCATTACATTACTGTCTACAACAAAACATTAGTCGTAAATAATTCCGTATCTATTAAAATGTCAGCTGTAAAATAACCCATTGGTTTAATTTTGGCATTACCAAAGCCAGTGAGCATATTATGAAACACACTTAAAGCGGAATTCCCGATTTGTTTATAAATGTCGTTAGACAGAACGTTGCTTCGCTGCCGGTATCAATGATAGCGGTGAGTGATATATCATTAATTTTGATTACTTTATGGAGTAGGTTCGGCGCATGAAAGTTCATTGATGTGACAGAATTCGTTTTTTCAGATGTAGGACTGTTGTTTTTGTCAATTTGCTTCGGAGTTTTCTTAATACAGGTAAAGGATTTATGACCGAAATTTTTACAAGATAGACATTTGGGTCTGCGATGTTTGTCGGGACAAAACTTAGATAAATGAACAAATCCATTACAATTATAACATTTAGATGACTGGTAATTACTGGAATTTGCTGAGAAACCTTTTCTATCACGTAAAGCTAAAAATGTAGATTCACGAGATTGAATTTTCACTTTAAAAAAGAAAGAAGGTCAGAAATTGTTACATCGTATTTTGAATATGTGTTTCGCTTAAAATCTAAAACAAGATTTTCTGCCAATAAATTTAGAACAATTGAAATCAAAAGTGGACCATAGGATTTTGAATCCTCTTGCAGTGACTCTAAATTTCGTATAGCTATATCGAGCTCATCATATAACTTTCTCAAAGCTGGAACATTTGAAGAACATTTTAACACTCTGCAAATTTAAAAGTTTACTCATAAAAGAATCAATGATGATATCTTTTCGACCAAAACGATCTTTAAGTAACTTTACACAGTTGTCGTAATTTTTATCAGTTAATTGAAAACCAGATACTACACTTAAAGCTCCTCCAGTCAAATATGTTTTTAAATAGGCAAACTTTTCAATTTTCGAAAGTGAATCATTTCGATCGATACTGGTTTCGAACGAATTTCAGAATTCATTCCACAATTTCGGATCTCCTGAATACGGTTTGATTTTTAATTTAGGAAGTTTAACTGAAGAGGGTAAATTTAAACTATGATTCGGAGTACTTAACAGTTTTTCAGATGTCGATGAGTTAGTAAAACTCTCTTTCTGCATCAATAAAAGTTTAAGTTTGTTAGTATACTTAAGACATTTTTCTTGGTAATCAGTACTAGTGTTTACTTCTTCCTCAGTTACGTTTACATCAATGAAATGTTCAATTTGACTATCTAAGCACTTTAGTTTATTCATTTTCTCTATTAAAACTTCTAGATGTTCGTCTAAGATATCACATGTAACATTTTCATCTGCTAAGGCAACATCGATTCTTGAAATTAGTTTCGTAGTACTGCTTCTTTCAATACTACGCTACGCTTTCGTTTTAATTTTTCAAAATTTTCTTCTGAAGACATTTTTATTACTTGGAAACAATTATACAGTTAAAATGAAATTGATAAATGTTAATTGCTCACCTGTAATCCGTTTGGGTGAACGAATCCAAATGGCACAATCCAACTATGAGCACGGAATCGAAACTTCTGACACCAATATATGGGGAAGGATTAATGATAAGCATAACTACAACTCATGATGTTAAACTAGGATTTATTTATTTACATTAGAATGAAAAGAAAAGTAAAAAGAATAATCGTCAAAACATTTTGGACACGTCTGTCCTCACTATCGTTCACGTCTCATCTGACCACACCCTAATCTAGATGGCGCTCTTACATAATCTTAGTTACAGTTACAGTTCCCACATTTTTTATGTGCGAGAATAAAAAAAAAGTCATTGGGTGCCAAATCAGACTATACTGCGGATGACCTATCAATTCAATGTTTTGGCTCTTCAAATATTCCTTTGTTTGAGCCGATATGTGAGAGCTCGCATTACCATGGTGAAGAATGATTCACCTCTTCTGCTTTTTTCGAATTTCTCCGATGACCTCTGGCAAACAAATGGTTTTGTACCATTCGGAATTGACCATCCTGCGTTGCTCTGACGCTACTGTTCCCACGTTACAGGTACTTCCGAAGAAACAGGCAACCATTTGCTTTGATGTGCTTCTTCCGAACAGCTTTTGTTGGATTTGGCTTGTTTCGGAAGACCCATACAGTCGACTGCTGTTTTGTTTCGGGCTCATATGAATGGGTCCATGATTCGTCAACTGTGTAGACGTTATACACATCCTTTGAGGCATCTTGAACGTATTTTTCCAACATTGCACCAGCCGACACGAGCCTTCTTTTGAGTGTTTGTCAGATTATGCGGGATCCAACGCGAACAAATCTTTTTTGTGTAATACCTTATTGATGCTTGTCATACTAATGTCCAAAAATGCCTCTATATCACGATATGTCATGTGACGATCTTGCTTTATCAGTTCACGCACAGCATCCATATTTTCTGGACGATCTTCACGAAATTCGTACAGGAGCGAACGTCGACCACGACCGAAATTCGTCGTACCAGTTTTTTACAGTGCTGTAGGATGGTGTTTTATCGCTGTATAAAAAATTAAATTCATCGAAGCACTTTCTTGTTTTGATAATATACGTCGAATGCTATGAAAAGTAATCGCACGAAAATGTTCACGAGTCAATTCCATTTTTTGTCCGAGATGATTTTTTTATTTATTATAAACAATACAAATCACGCTAAAATGGCAAAACGTTCTGAAGAAGAACGTTCTTATTTTCTGAACGTTCTTATGGTTAAAAATATCACTTTCGACTGGAATCGTCTGCGCCTAGCAATACTTGATCTTGCCAAAGCCAGAAATATAAATAGCAACATTTATCATTCACAAAGCCATCTTTGGTCCTGTTCTCCTGGACTTATTATGGTGCACTCATTCTACGAAGCGACCTTCTAAGACATACGAAGTTCTGACAGCCGGAACACAGCATGAACGTTTCATGCTAATCCGGCATACAGCGGAAGTTGGAATTGGTTTCATAGAAGCACTGTTGCTTCTACCTTGTTGCCATTTTTTAGCTCCGTTTCGTGTTGAGAACTTAAACGAGATCAGTTTGACTTAAAATATGTTTTCATAAGCTATGTGTCTGAGTGACAATATTTGAAGAAAACTGTCATTTAAATTGCTGATTGAGAACTGTAAAGTTCTAATTGTTTAATTGTAATGTTCTGACATTTTCAAGAAGCAAAATTATCATTATTAAAATACAGTATGTAGTATTACTTAGCTCGCAAGTCACTTGCAAAAACATATGGTTTTTTCCCAGCATAACGGAAATTATAATTACAATTAATAACAGTTAAGTACAGTAAGACCCCGGTTAACGCTGTTTCGTTTAGCGCTGTTTCGGTTTAGCGCTCTTTTATTTCAACCCGGGGATTCCACGAAATCGCTCGCAGCATACGGGGATTCCACGAAATATTATGCAGCGATAGGTTTCAAATACATATCCGAAAGAGTGTACTTGTATTTCTTGTTTGGTGCGGTATTGTACAGACATATTTTGAAGGGGTAAATGTGGAAGATGTCGAAGAAATAATTCAAGAAGCAGCGGCTAGTCTTTCTAATGATGAGCTCAAGGAATTAACTGAACAAGAAGAAAACAAAAATGTTGACAGCAGTGATTCAGAAGAAGAGCAAAAAGAACTTTCGATGGCGTTTGTAAAAAAGAGTTTGTCTACCATAACTGAAATAATGGATCAATTCATTGAAAATGATCCGAATTTTGACAGGAGCTCAAAAGTAAGGCGTGGTGTTAGAGATGCTCTATCCGTTTATGAAGAATTTATAAGAGAACAACGCAAAAGAAAAAGGTAAACAAAATTAGATGCTTTTGTCACAAAAAGGCAGAACACTGAAAACGCGGAAGGCTAACTAAATATGACTGACTGAGAATTTTTTTTTTTTTTTTTTTTTAAGAATATTCATTTTGTTATTTATATTTTGTTTTTATTTTTGCAAGAAATAATAATGTGGTATTAATTTGGGCTTTAAGAAATAAATGTTTGGTTTTATTTTTATTAAAAAAACATACTTTTTAAATTCAATACCTAACCAATTTCCTAGCCATCTTCCCCTAACCCCAATATTTACATGTAAAGATAGCCTCGTTTAGCGCTGTTTCGCATTACGCTCTACATTGATGGAACGTATCCCCCGCGTTAAGCGGGGTCTTACTGTATGTGGTTACCCACTAGGTAGAAACATAAACTATTACCCATCAGCTACTCTTCTCGGTTTCCGAAGCAAATTGTTTAGGTAATCGCTTTACATTGAAGGGTCATGTGGAACTTCTGATATTGACTGCAGAAATAAACTGACTGTAGAAACTGTCCTTGCTACTCTGTTAAAGATTCCTAAAAATTAGCCTATCAAAACCTAAGCAGTGTTTCTTGGATATAATGTTATTTTACAGCTTCACAAAGAAAAGAACTCAGAACCAAATATTAATAATTAATTCTTTCTTCATTTTCTACGAAGGAAGAAGATAGTATTGAATATATGTGACTACATGGACTACTTGAAAGCATTATCACGTCGTTATCGAATATCTTTAGAGGATCTTGTAGAACTCATGGTTGGGGAGCCCTACGCTGTATTGTCCAGAAAGGTAAGAAGCGTGTTAATGAAACTACTAACTATATTCTGTGCAGTCTAGTTTCGAAATTATCGATTTAATGATAAATCCAAAAGAATTTCTTTTCATTTCCTTTTCTGTGTACTGATTTTTATTTAGTTTTGGTGAATAATGCACTCAGTTCTGCTTTTCATAATCTGCCAGCTGGATATTGAAACTTATGGCGTTAAAAGTCAGTTTTGAGATGATTTTCAAATAATTTCGTTAAAAATCCAAAATATATATGATTTTACGTTTTCCTTTTTATTTTAAGAAATTTCTTAAGAAATTTCTTAAAATAAGAATCTTCTATTCTTCATTTAACTGCGTATTTTAAGATTTAAATTAAATCTATCAGTTATGCAATTTTTAAATTTACCTTCAATTTCTTTATTCTCTTTTTTAATTTAATACTATCTTAAAAAAAAAAACCACCTTCAATAAAAGATTTCATATGAAATGAAAAATTAGCAATTTTTGAATTTAGCTTGAAATTTTAAAATTAATATCTTTAATGTAAAAGGCCCCTATTTAATTTAAAATTTTAATTAATATTAATAGAAATTCTTAAATTTATCACTGCTCCGGAATAATCAGACAAGTGATGTAGTATAATTTTGTTTGCTATAGAAATATCAATCAGTCAATCCATACATATTGCAATCAATCAATCAAAATCCATACATATTGTTCTCTGATTTATTTGTCTAAAAATAATTTGCTGATGCACAAATAATAAGAAAAACACGCCGGTGTAAAATTTGAATTAGGCAAAGAACGAGTGTTATACGTGCATAGATTATGCATTACCTAAAATCCTACCGATTTCGAGCGCAATCTGACAAAGGTCCTTCTCATTCAGGAGCACCACATTCTGGTGAAGATGGGAGAAGCAAACAAACAAATTTGCAGGAAAATCAACGGATACGACAAAAAGAAAATAAACGCAGCACCGTTTGTTAAAGAAACGAAGAATGAACGTAAACACCAGGTGAAAAAGTTTGGCGCATTATTTTTGCAAAGTTCAAAATTATGATTAGGTTATAAGGTATTTTCTCCCTTCTTCCGGCATGCCTTCGTGGTGTAACAGTTAGCACACTCGGCACGTATTCTAGAGGTCCAGGTTCGAGTCCCGGTTAGGGCATTGCTCATTTTTCATGTCTCCTACTCAAAATAATCTAATGATTCCACAAAGTGACCAATTACACTGGTGTGCAAAAGTTAAGGACGAAGATTAGCATATCAGCTGAACGAAGAGGCAGAGCGGACAGAAAGACCAATCAGGATATTAAGTAAGGTGATGTACGGTAGCACATGCGCAGATATGCAGGTAGACGTAATGGGGGAGTGTCTGAGTAGTATAAAGCATGTTGTCGGTGTAAGATCAGTATTTCTGGCAAAGAGATTGCACGCCGTATAGCAGTTAAAATCACACCGAGTTGCTGCCTCAGCGAGAAATGGCGAATAATCAATCTGTTAGACGACATCTGGATGCTTTTACCCGATTTTACCCGAGGTCGAATCATTGGGAAGTTGGAGGAAGGCCGCAGTGTGACAAGTGTGGCTGCAGAGTTCGGAATTGCTCACAGCATCGTTTCACGACTTTGGAGACAATTTCAAACTACAGGAACAGCTATCCGGGGGTTTAGTAGTGGTCGTCCACGAGGAACCACACCCGCAGATGACCGGTATATTGCCTTACAGGCCAGAAGAAACAGGCGGCAGACAGCGGGAGAAATCGCTAGACACACGACACAGGCGACTGGACGACCGATATCGCGTTTTACCGTGGCCAGAAGACTGCACGGTGGTGGTCTGTTTGCACGACGCCCTGTACGGTGTGTACCTCTAACGCCTGCCCATCGGAGAAGGCGTTCTCTGTGGTGCCGGGAACACCGGAATTGGAGAGACAATGAATGGGGACGAGTACTCTTTACAGATGAGAGCAGATTCAGTCTGAGTAGCGATTCTCATCGCATACTCATCTGGAGAGAGCGGGGAAGCCGCAATCATCCCTCGAACATCATTGAAAGGGACAGGTATGGAGGTGGCTGTGTTCTCGTTTGGGGAGGCATCATGCTTGGTAGTCGTACAGACCTTCACATCTTCGACGCAGGTTCAGTCAACGGGACCCGTTATTGTAACGAGATTCTTCTTCCATATGTGCGTCTTTTTAGAGGCGCTATGGGTCCGCAGTTCCTTTTCATGGACGACAATGCACCATGTCATCGCACAGTAGCTGCCGAACAGCTCTTAGAGAGTGAGGATATTGAACGTATGGATTGGCCGGCACGATCTCCGGATCTCAATCCCATCGAGCATGTATGGGATTTTCTAGGCAGACGCTTGGCAGCTCGTACCTTACCACCAGTAACGATTCCGGAGCTTCGATTGGCGCTGCAAGACGAATGGGCAGCAATGCCTCAACAACTCATTGACACCCTCATTCTCAGCATGGGCAGACGCTGTGAAACCTGCCTAGCAGTCAGGGGAGATCATATCCCCTATTAAAGACCGGATGTTTCTTGCTGGACACCCATCACAGGGATGTTTTGGCCTTCAATCTCATTGCGCTCCATGCTACGTTTTCAATAAAGCTTTTTTTTTTATCCCTCTGATTTCTCTTTTAGTAAGTGTTGCTTACATTACTCATGTCCTTACGTATTGGGGATCTTACGGTATTAAATGTGTTGATTTGGAAAGCTTTTGTACAAAGTTATATTGAAAAAACCGTCTCGTCCTTAATTTTTGCACCAGTATGGTATTGGATTATCTATTAAGCAAGATTCTTTTTGACGACACCTTTTTTTCATATTTCAAAAGTGAAAAAATATACCAACTCAACGGGATCGATTAAGATTTTATTGATATCGAAACGAACTAAAATGGAACTGTAAGTAATGCAAGAATCCTGTAACTGATAAAATGATAAAATATGATGACAACAAGGTTATTGTAATTACACCCCCCCCTTAGTAGCAAAAGGTCTTTCATAATGGCAAGAGGAAAATATTTGAAAGACATTATCAGTGACTAGAGCAGAAAATCCTTTGTCAATGATAACTGGTGTAAAATAAGTCAATTCTTGAGAAATAAAAGATTCGGAAGAATAAATTTTGGGAGCATGATATATATAAAAAAGGAAAAAAAAAATCTTTTTTTTGGTTTAATAATTTGACATGACTTGACATAGAAAAGGAAACAAACAAAAGACGATTTACGGGATAAACAGTATTGTTGAACTTAGGAAAGGGAGAATCCTAATTCAGTTTCAAAAGTGTGGGGGCTGGATCAGCTGAGTTCACTGCAATTTAAAAATTCTTTATTATCATCAGAAACGCGTGACTGTGTCATCAGCATAGCCAATACAGACCAGAAAAGAGAGTGTTAACAATAATTTGATATAAAAACAGTAATGATGTAAATGTCAACAATTATTCACTGATAGGGTTATTTTTAGGTAATTTTAGCGACAGCTTTTTTTTTTTTTTTTTTTTTTTTTTTTTTTTTTTTTTTTTTTCCGTTTCTTAGGCAATTTACTAGCTTAACAGTTTCCTAGGTATTTCAGAGGCACAGGTTTCTTTTCACAAATTCTTTTAATAAAGACTGTTTTGCAGAATTTTCTGTTCTGTGACCTGAAAAAATGACTTTCTTTGTCTCCAGTTTCAGTAGGCACACTTCCATTTTCACACAAAAGGCATCCATAGGTTGCATTTCATCGTAAAGCAGTGTACCTCTATTTATGTATTTGGGCCCACGAGCGGCCGAGCGGTAACGTCGCTGAACACTGGTAGTTCGGTCCGAGGTTCGAATCCCGCGAACGGGCTGGCTGCATGTGGGTTTTCGTGGTTTTCCCCATGTGCAACGTGTATACGAGCCAGTTTCTCTTAAAAATTCCTCCACGAAAGCATCCCTTCCTCAAGGCAGATAGCCCTCGAGTGCTTTGCCGTAATCTAATAAACCAAATCAAACCTCTATTTATATCAATAGATACAGATGAAGGAGAGGAGTTTCCAAAACATTTATATTATTTTCAGTTGCAAATTTCTTTGTAAAAGGGATAACTTGAAGTCAGTTTCATATATTCAAGAACCAAAATTGTAATATTTAAAACATGGTTGACATGTTTTTATACGAAAAAAGATTAGATTCTATTGGTTTATCAACAGCCTTGGTAATCTGCTTTATCAAATGTAGTCAAAATGCGAGTATCACTTCTGTCAACGGTGTCCGCTGAAAACATCATGGCAGATATATCGCGGTCAAAAATGTCGTAGAGAAAACAACGCAAGGCAAGAATGTTGTCGTAAAAATATCATGTGAGAAAAGAAAGCAAGGAGAAAAAGGTCGCAGTTCTAAAACATCTTTGTATAAAATATCGTCATCGAAAATAACGTGTTTCAAAAATTTCGCGGTTTAAAAACATCGTCATCGAAAGTATCGGGTAAAAAATAACGCATCTAAAAGTCATCGCAGGACGATAACATCTCAGATATGCGTTGCCAGGCTTTAAAATTTCGCATATTCGCATAATGACCTGACCACTAGAACGAATGAGGAATATTTTTACTTTAATATCTCATATTTTTAAATTAACTAATAGAACTTTGCTGAAATTTTAAACTTATATAGTAACTAGTAAAAATCATTAACTGATTAGCTTCTTTTATAAAGTTTTATTAGTAATTTTTCATAAAAAATTATAGTCTAAAGAAAGATTAGGAAACTAAAGATGAGTTACTGCATGTGTTTACACCTATTAAAACTATTTAATTAATTCTCAAATTACAAAATTATGTTATCTGCTATAAGTAGTATTAATTTTCCATCTCGATTTTTCAGCAAAAATTTACTAATTAATTCAAAGATACAAAAGTAAAAACATTCTTATTCCTTCTTGTCCTCACAAATCATTATGCGAATATAAATTTAAGATTCTGAATCGCTTTGTTTTCAAGGACGATGTTTTGTACTACGATGCTTTAGAACTGCGATGTTTTCTCTTTGCTTTCTTTTCTTCCAAGACATTTTGTACAACGACAATTTTGTCTTGCGTTGTTTTCTCCGCGACGTTTTCGCCTGTAACCCTATCTACTATATTGGGCTATAGTGGTTTTAGATGAGGTATTACGCAAGTACTTTTACAAGATTTTCTTTTATTTTCTTCCTATAGTGGCTTCAGTTCAACGCTTTCGTTCTTTTCTTGTATAAATATTTCTAGAGAGGCACTTATCACATCAAATTCATAACGTTCATAATCCAAAGAAGGCTAAATTTCAATTTGAGTCAATGTGTCTTTGTCTCTAAGTTCAGTTTCAGAATTTAACTCATCTTTCTAGCCTAGATTTTAAATATTTCCTAGAAGTTGTTGTTGAGCACGGGTTTGGACGAAGTTTATCATATGAATTTGAACTTTTTCATCTCGTTTTGCTTCTTTAAATAATGCAGCTGTTTTATTACCTAAGGTACCTTTCTTGACGTAATGAATCTCTTAAGATTGCGGTCTTTGGTATTATATGACCAAATTCCCATTCAAGCTCTACTCAGCCGATGGTAAGCACACTGGATATTCTTCCAGAAGTGTTCGTATCACCGCAGTTCCACTCGTGTACATAGAAGGCTTTACATACTTTTTAGCAAATTAAGTCCAAGGTTGCATCGGTATCTCTAAGTATGGGCATTTTGTAGCCATTTTGTGTTATCTAGGCTAGTGTACAGAGTCATAATATCCTTGAAACTATTTCCAGAAATTCCATTTAAAGCCATCGTTTCATTTGAGGCTACGGTTTGCACATTCCTCGTGAGTTTATCACATTGAGGAAGGAGCTGAGAATGGGACCCGCATTCATAACAAGAAAGTTGTCTTTCGTTTTCAAATTCTTCTCATGAATTTCATTGGTAGATTCTCTCTTAGTATTAAAATATTTCGATATTTCATTAGGACTGCAGTTACTGTGATAACTACCTTGCATTCTGTTCTAGTTTTGATGACTCTTTTGAAATTTTACACTCTATTTTCTAGGATTTTCCTCTAGCTTTGTTTTGAGGCTCTCATACTCGTCTGGTTTTTCTGCTAGGTCATACAGAGTTTTTAAATCTATCCATCTGTCGAGAAAATGTTTCTTGATTTCCACTGGAACCTGATATTTAATTTGTTGGATAATGACTGAGATTCTAGGTTCTCAAATGTTTTAATTTCTAAATACTCAATAAACTCCAAAAAATAGGTGTCAATTTCCTGACCATAATTTCTCCAAGATTTTTCAGGAGTCTTTTGATCTCGATAAAAGCGCTCTTTCAAAGTTATTTATAAAGTTTCGTTATTAAGTTTGTATATTTTTAAATTAGATTTTTCACATAATTGTAGTTAGTTCCATCTTCAAACGGTTCTCTGGCTAACATACTGGACATTTCGACAAGTAAAACACCAAAAAGATAAGACACCTAATCTTTCTTACACGGTCATAAGCTATTTCAGCTCTTCCCTCAAAATTTATCAAATATAGTCCCACTTAATCCTTTCTTTCATCAAACTTTGGAGTAATTTGTGGCAGTTGAATTAGATTCTATTGTATTTGCTGGCGGTTCTTTAGCTCACATATCTGATTTTTCAATTCAAACCGCTTTATCTCTAATTCATGTGCTCTTGCTTTCAGAAACAGTCCAGAGCCATGCTTTCTTTAGCTTCCTGAGAAATCTTTCGCTCGAGAATCTTTCAAGAGCGCGAGGACATTTATAGCGTAACAAAGCAAGACTTTAAAAAAGGAATAACAGAATATATTTAGAGAATAAAGAAATTTTAAATCACCCGCTACAATTAAGATCCCTTATGAACGAAGCTCTGTCACTCAGCAGTCGTGTTTGTCCTCTGCTGTTTCAACAATTTCTAAATTATTTATATGTATGTCATAATTTTAATGCGTAGGAGTAGTCGGATACTAGTCGTTTTTTCCTTGCGTATTGCAAAATATGAAAGAGATTTTTTCTTTTAATCTCTTACCAATCTCCGAACAGTATATTGATGACTAACGTCCATCTGTCATGCCACGTTAGTAATTAAGATAGGTAAGAGATAGCCATTTTACAAATTGTAAATGCGCAAAATTTTGGTTAAAGAAAGTGATATCGTTGAAATAGTTTTTAAGTCATGATCTGAATGTACATTCTAATCTCTTTTTGATAGAAAAGTGACTTTGGATCTACTCATTTGGCTTGTGGTGACGAATCATCCATACTTTACTCTGTAAAAAACAAGAAAGAAAATAAAGGAAGTAAATGTCTCCAACCTGTGCAAAGCACTCCCAAGCCATAATTTACAGAATAGCTACCAAAGTATTGATTTCGACCACAAAATTAAACTAGAACTAAGAGTATCTTGTATTTGTAATAAATATCTATTTTATGCATAGCAGTATTCTTTCATGGAGTGAACGTTGTTCTTCATTTTTAAAAATTTTTATGTTATGGAGGCTACAGTAGCTTGACTTCGAGCTTGCTGAACAGTTTTCAACTAAATGAGATGATTCATATTTGTAGGCATCAAGGCTTGTATGTAAAATACATGCCTTAGACTCACTAATAGGGAACTGAATTAAGTTATCGAAGTAAAAATTACAATGTCAGTAATATTATACAATCATAAAATTTAATGAGCTTCTACTGAAGTGAAATCAGAAATGTGAAATGTTCTATTGAAAGTAAAATCCAAAACAGGAACGTGCTCTTTCATTTGTATATATTGTTGCGAAATGCCCAGCTGCGGTAAGATAGCTTCTCCGCAAAGCGGAGTTAAGGTTGCCAGAAAGTGGTAAATAAAGGCAGGGTTGCCAGATTTGTTGCGAAATCGCCCATCTGGGGATATTTGGCTACAAATTGGCGATATGCCATAGACGGAGCGAGAACATTCTAGAACCAATTTTTACCGGTTTTCCCGAGAATGTTCTCGAAGGCAGGTCGAAAGCTATATATTTGGCTATCTCCTGTACGCGGAGTAGAGGAGTATCTAGAGTAGTTTGACTAGTAGTGTTGAGTTCAGTAGTAGTGTTTTGAGTTCAGAGATTCGCTTGAGAGTGATCGAACCGAGTCGGGAGCTGTACTTCAGTGCTTTGCTGTGAAGCTGTATCCATCGTTGTAGCCTGAAGGCTGTGTTGGTGATTGTTTCAGCGTGTTTATTGTAGTTTTTCGACAACTGTAAACTGTCTTTGGAACTCTCTTGTGTAATCCTGGCGAATAAATCGTGTTTTGATTCTTCATCAAGTGTTGCCATCAATCACTCCAAATCCACGAACCCGTAGAGCACAACAATATTGAGTTTAAGCAAAACATGAGTCTTAAAGGCTCTTAATGCTGTTCAAACTAATTGTGAACAGGAGATTCGTGAGCTAAAAACCAGGAATAACTCGTAATAAATGTTGTTAAAAATTTTAAATAATACGAAGTTTCCAGTAGTCAAGAACTTCTCCTTAACATAGTATTTCCTAACCCAAAGGAATGTTTTTCTTTATGCTGTTGCATATATCTCTAAATATTTATCTTGTTTCATTGTTGCATACTGAAAGATTTGTTCATCTGTTATGCGTTTGTGGCCACATATCTTTTTTTTAATATCAGTGTTTGTTTCATATTTGGAATTGTTGATTTTGATGCTCTAAGAGTAACAACGTTCAGAATGTAAAAGTAGCTTAAGTGAGATGCGGGATACATTTCTCACGGGTATTGTGACAGATCTTTTCCGAAATTTACAGAAGCTCCTGCTACACCAGACCAATGTTCGTATTTATATCAATGCTGCTAAAAGACTGTGGAGTTGTTATACCTGCTGATTTACTTGTTATTCAACAGCGCCATCTAGTTGAATTTTGCGTTTACTCCGCAACTGAATTTGGTATTGGCACACTGAAGAGAAATTATTTATTATTCTGCTTAAGCTATTTCAATTTATTTACTATATTGTTTGTAATTAATTTTTTATAATAAATTTTTAATTTCGTTCTGTTATTTAAAGTGTTTATTCAGAGAGATATCACCGAACCGGCAGCCTGCAACAATAGGCTGATCGATATGAATAAGTTCTACAAAAGCAGAAGTCAACAATCTTTCACCCGTCATATGTCTATTTAATGACTCAGATAAAAAATGATAAATTATAGACTTCTGTTACATGATCGTAAATAACATGAGCGCATTAAACGTAATAAGCAGGCAGAATGGTAGCATCGAAAAACAGAAAGAATCTTAATCGCAGCTTCTTATTTCTAGGTCTTTGATTTTAACCCTCTAAGCCGCAAGGCCGTATATATACGGCCTAGAATATTTTTGTCATATCTGTAAGAACGTATATATACGTGCATATTAAAATATTTCAAAGAAATTAAGGCAAGTACAGAAATCCAGGTATGTAATACCAGGAGAGGTTTTACATTAAAATAAAAATAATAATAATAATTTGCTCTCATAGTAGTTTTGGGAGGGAAATGTGTGCTTTCTTAGCGAAAGCCCTGGCCACTCAGAGGGAATACATTCATTCCTTTGAATGGAAGAACACATTTTTCTCTCTATTTAGGCTTTGAAGTGAATAGGCAAAACTCCAGAAATGATTTATCAAGCCGCTGTCGGTGCAATATTAAAAGCTTTGGTCATGGATAATAAAGCCTTTTGCACATGTTAACATAAAACATTAATAACATTAACAATTATAATAATAACATTATTTATATTAATAATATTGTTGCGTGCGTACGGGTTCGAAATGAATGCACAAGTCCGATGAAAAATGAACAAAAATTTATTATTATCACAACAAAAATGCTTAAATTTTCTCAAATTATCATGCAGTATTACAATATCTCACAGTAGTTATCTTTTAACTACTCAAATGTCCAATAGAACGTAATTCAAAACAGCTAAAGAACGCTAATCCGCGAATTCGCTACAATCAACAAGAGCAGTTTTTCTAAACAACAACAAACTAAGCAACTACTACAAACTGAGATGTTTTCCTCCTTTTATAAGATTTTAAAATCACGCGCTAGAATTTTCCAGTACTTTCTCGAAATCAAAAAGAGATATTTATTTATTTAATGCACGCGCTCTTGTATTTTTCAATTTTTTCCGGCTTAGCTTTCTTTTAATATTCGTCACGCGCTGCACTGCGCGAGAAATAAAACCATTTAATTTATAATTGAACTAACATTAGCTTTTTAAATACCAAATTCGTAACACTGCCCCCTTCCCAAGGACTGCACGTCCCGGGCAGTACAATCCCTGGACAGGAAGCTAAACTTACAACTGTGGCATAACATGCAACTGAGGCATAACATTACATTACAATATGAACAATATAAACAATAAATGCAATAAATAAAACAAATCAAATGCTATCAAATACAAATCAAATACTAAATGCTAAATACAAATCAAATACACATCTATATAATAATAAAAGCAAGTGTAATGTGTCTGTCTGTCTGTCTGACCGAGCTCTCCAGCCAAATCTATCGCACGCAGGGACCTGGAATTTTTTTATACGGAAGCACAAAGGGGCTGGCCACCAGACCTCGAAGCCCGATTTTCGATTTTTGAATTAGAAAAATTTTAAAAAAATTATTATAATTAATTATCTGTCTGTCTGTCTGTCTGACCGAGCTCTCCAGCCAAATCTATCGCACGCAGGGACTGGAATTTTTTATACGCAAGCACAAAGGGGCTGGCCACCAGACCTCGAAGCCCGATTTTCGATTTTTGAATTAGAAAAATTTTAAAAAAAATTATAAATATAATTAATTAATCACGGTTTTTTTTGACTCACTGATATTATTATTTGTTTTCAAATAACGTTCGATTGTAACAATTGATTTCTTTATTCTAGCGTTAGTTTGCTGTTTTGACGATACATTAAATCAATTAATTACAATTCATTTCTTTTTTGTAGCTTGTGGGGGGGAAGAGAGAGAGACAGTCTACATGTCCTACACTACTATTCCTGCGCTATTCACTTATCTGCATTTTCTAAATGCACGGGCAACGCCGGGCGGGTACACCTAGTTTAAAAATAAAATGGACCATGGTCTTATACAATTTACAATTATTTACATTATGTACTATGGCCATAGTAATGAGCTAACCTGTCGTAATGAACGACTTTAGGTTTAGAGTTCGAACACTTACGGATCATGACGTCATTCAGTCTCTTCAGGACTGTATATGGACCATCCGAAGGTTACTGTAATTCAGGCCTGACTCCTTTTCGCCGAATCGGGTTCCACAACCACACCTTGTTTCCTTTGTTGGATCTATGTCTAGTAGCTCGCGTGTCATATCTGGTCTTCACTTTCTCCGTCGCCAAGTTGACTCGCTTTCGTGCAGAACGGTGCATCCCCTCAAACCGGGCCTGGACATTTTGGACGTGTTCCTCAGGCGATGAAGGCGCATCCGTACGGCGAGCAAACAGGCGGTCACAAGGCAGACGAAGAGCTTCTGAGATAGAGAATAGCTGGTAGTCTTGCGTTTCTTTTCGACCCTAGCATGATTTCGGCGGCTTCCCGAGCTGGGTCTTTCGGACAAGTGAGGATCTCTTCTGAGGATAGATAGTCATGTCACCAGATGCTGAAAGCAGTTTGTTGTTTTTGAAGTCTAAGGAAAAATTGTATTTCCTTAAAAAGTCCAATCCGAGTATGCATGGATCTGTGATATCCGCCACATAAGCCGTGTGATGGTAGGCGGCACTTCCAAACGTGATGTTTACGTTTAACTTCTCAGTTATGTCGATCTTATCACCAGACGCAGTCTGAAGGGTAACACAGGATGGCGTCCAAATAAGTTTATCTTTAAACTGTTCAGCTAAATCTTTTCTAATGATGGTAACATTAGCTCCTGTGTCAATGATCATATCGCAAGGAACTCCATCGATATTCCCATTAATGGACATTCCGTTACTGTTGCCACTCACTGTATAAATTTTAAGCGCTTTAAAACAAGGTTTTTCATCATCTGGCAACCTCCGTTCTTTGATATGGTCATTAATTTGTTTCCTGCGTCGTTGCTCAGAAATGGTGTCAATTTTCGTACCCTGGGGTGTTCTGCATTGCTTTTGTACGTGTCCTTCAGCTCCACAGTTCCAGCATTTAGGTTTCTTTTCACTTATGTTCCGTCTCAAGCCACTGACTTGTCTGGTAAAATCATCTGCTTTATATTCCGTACCCTGGGGTGTTCTGAAGTTTCGTCGTATGTGTCCTTCAGCACCGCAGTTCCAGCACTTAAGTCGGTTTCTTCTCACCCTATTCCGTCTCAAGGCGTTGAGTTGTCTAGTTAAATCGTCTAGACGAGCATGACTTGATCTGGCTGCTGGACTTGAGCAGCTCTCACGGGTGGCGGTCT